CAGGAGACCCTCCAGATGGCCCAAGAAGGCCCCACGAGCTGCCGAAGAGGGCTCAAAGCGGGCTCCCAAGCGGCTCGAACCGTCCAACGTAGCCTCCAGACGTCCCAGGATTCCTCTCGCCTCGCGGGGTGCACGTCCGGAGCACGTACAGTCCAGTCGTTATTGTGCCTCGTGGCAGCCTTGGGGGCCTCTTGGGAGCCTCTTGGGGTCCTCTTGGGGCCTCTTGGGGGCGTCCTGGGGCCTCTTGGAGGCTTCTTGAGGGCCTCGTGGGGCCTCTTTGGGGCGTCTTCGGCTGTCTTGGGGCGATTGTGCACCGTTTGGCCATTTCGGGGCTTTCTTGGGGGTCTCTCGCAGCCGCCTTGGGGACCCTCCTGGGGCTCTCTTGGGGTCCTCTTGAGCTCTCTTGCGGGTCTCTCGGACCGTCTTGGGGGCCTCTTTGGGCCGTCTTGGGGCCCCCATTGGGTGCTTCTCGAGTCTTTGTGGGGCCTTTTTCCCGGAAAGGGCTCGAGCCCACGGTTCTCTTTTAGTGGGTTTACCCCCCGGTTTCGACGGCTGTAGGGCCGGCGAAATTATTCTGCGATGAATTACGTGCGGGAGTAGGGCCGGCGAATTAAAATCTGAGGATGTCTCGAGCGAAACGCATGTTTTTCAGAACTTGTTGAGGATGTCTCGAGCGAAACGCTTGTTTTGTGTTATAGATTGTCCTCTCCTGGGGACCTGAATTCTGAGGATCTCTCAAGCGGATTGCTTGTTTTCACGTGCCCAGGTCTTGAGGATGTCTCGAGCGAGACGCTTGGTTTCACGCCTCCAGGTGGCCTAGACAGATGTCTAGCTTGAGGATTTGTTGAGGATGTCTTGAACCAGAGGCTTGTTTTCACGTGTCCAGGTCGCCCAGGCGGACGTCTAGCATGAGCATTTGTTGAGGATGTCTCGAGCGAGACGCTTGTTTGCACGTGTCCAGGTTGCCCAGGCGGATGTCTAGCATTAGGATGTGCTGACAACGTCTAGACCAAAACGCGTGTTTTCACGTGTCCAGGTCGCCCAGGCACAGCACAGCCCTCGGCACGGTACATCAATATCGATACCCTTAGCATTGCAGCTTGGCATGTTGCCTGGCACGTTCCGCGGAGCGTCCCGTGGCGAGTCCCCCTGGCACGTCGCGCGGTGCACGTCCATTGGCTCGTTCCGTAGCGCGTCCCCCTTGGCACGTCCCGCGGTGCGTGCCCATGGCACGTCCCTTGGCACGTCGCCTGGCGCGTCCCTTGGGACGTTCCGCGGCGCGTCCTCCTGGCATGTCCCCTCTGTCGATTAGTTCTGGGGCAGCTACCATCTGCTCAGGCAGCTCGAGCTTACGATCCAGATCAGTTCGGTGAGGACTCGGATGCCAGGGAGGACTCGATCCACAACGCTATATAGGGCACACTCGCGGCATGGCACATCGCAGTTCAGCACGGCCCAGCACAGCACAGCCGTCGGCACGGTACATCAAGATCGATACACTCAACTATGCACCTTGTCACGTTCCTTGGCGCGTTCCGTGGCGAGTCTACCTGGCACGTCGCGCGGCGCGTCCCCTGGCACGTCCCTCGGCACGTCCATTGGCACGTTCCGTAGCGCGTCCCCTTGGCACGTCCCGCGGTGCGTCCCCATGGCACGTCCCCTGGCACGTCGCCTGGCGCGTCCCTTGGGACGTTCCGCGGCGCGTCCTCCTGGCATGTCCCCTCTGTCGATTAGTTTTGGGGCAGCTACCATCTGCTCAGGCAGCTCGAGCTTACGATCCCGATCAGTTCGGTCAGGACTCGGATGCCAGGGAGGACTCGATCCACAACGCTATAGAGAGCACAATCGCGGCATGGCACATCGCAGTTCAGCACGGCCCAGCACAGCACAGCCGTCGGCACGGTACATCAAGATCGATGCACTCAACTATGCACCTTGGCACGTTCCTTGGCGCGTTCCGTGGCGAGTCCACCTGGCACGTCGCGCGGCGCGTCCCCTGCACGTCCCTCGGCACGTCCATTGGCACGTTCCGTAGCGCGTCCCCTTGGCACGTCCCGCGGTGCGTCCCCATGGCACGTCCCCTGGCACGTCGCCTGGCGCGTCCCTTGGGACGTTCCGCGGCGCGTCCTCCTGGCATGTTCCCTCTGTCGATTAGTTCTGGGGCAGCTACCATCTGCTTAGGCAGCTCGAGCTTACGCTCCAGATCAGTTCGGAGAGGACTCGGATGCCAGGGAGGACTCGATCCACAACGCTATAGAGAGCACAATCGCGGCGTGGCACATCGCAGTTCAGCACGGCGTAGCACAGCACAGCCCTCGGCACAGTACATCATCATCGATACATTCAGCATTGCATGTGCCCGTCGCCCAATTAGGTGTCTTTGAAATGTTGCAATGCCTTACATTTCTATATTCCTTTCCAGGTTCGTGGGTCGATCATGTTGGGGGCTGCTTGGGCCGTCATGGGCTTGTCAGAGCCGAAAGAGGCGAGAACGCTAAAATCGCCCCAAACCTATAGGAACATCAATATGTTTTGGCCTCTGGAGACGCTCTTGTGGGCGTTCTTGGGGCCCTCTTGGGCCGTCTTGGGGGCTTCATCTTGGGGCCATCTTGGGCCGTCTTGGGGCCATCTTGAGCCGTCTTGACGTCGGCGTAGACCCCCAAGATGCCCAACGGGCCCAAATCATCGGTTTCCCTTAGGTTTTTGTAGGTATTGAAGCCCAGGAGGGGTACACCACCTTTGGGTAGGTGGATGTGGCGTGGCCTGGGGCGGGGGGGTTAGGGGGGAGACATACTAATGTAATACAATGCAGTACCAAGCAATTATGCAATCATTGTATACATAGGATACGTTGCATTAGGGCTTCCGCTCCGCTGCGCGACCTGCCTCCGGCAACACGTCACTTCCGGACGTGGATTCTATAGGCTTACGCCACATCCGCCGACCCCTATATAAACTATTGCGCCTCCAGGACTGCACTTCACGAGGCTTGTCCGAATCATGACACGGCGCTCGACATCGTTCCTGTTGCTTCGTTGCTGTTATCGTACCTCTTGGTGCTCTTTTGTGGCCTCTTGGTGGCATTTTGGCGTGTCTGCAGGCCATATCCGGCCGCCTCGAGAAATCTTGGGCCAAGTTTGGGGGCCTCTTGGGGGCTTTCTGGGGGCTTCTTGTGGGCCTTTGAGGTTTTCTCGGAGGTCCATCAGTGCCTCTGGGGCAGGCTGGGGGCGTCTTGGGGCCGAAGGCTCGAAAAGATGCACTCCGGACTCCCTCTTGGAGCCGTCTGGGGGCCATCTTGGGCTGTCTTGGGGTCTTCGTGGGCTGTTTTTGGACCCTCTTCGACCCTCTTGGGGGCCCCTTCAGCCGTCCGGGGCGATATTGAAGGTTTGCTTCTTGGGACTCTCTTTGAACGCATCCTTGGGGCCTCTTGGGGCGTCTTGGCAGCTTCGAAGGCCGTCTGGAGGCCATCGCGGGCGTCAAGGAGCGATATTTCGGCCACTCGTGGCCCTCTGGGACCGTCTGGGGAGCGTTTTCGTGCCTTCTTTTGGCCAGTTTTGGAGCCCTCCGCTTCCCCATGGTCGCGCCGGGCCAGGGGGGGGGGTCAAATCGCCGGTTTGGGGTCCCTTGGGGGGATTACAGGAGGGGATAATCTCACACGCCTAGACACGCACAAGGGGTCTGCGGACTCTCAACATCAGCAGCCCCCTCAGATGGCCCCAGGACGTCCCTTCAAGCCCCCACGACGGCCCAAGAGCTCTCCAAAATGGCCCGATAAACGCCCCAGAGGCTCCAGAGAGACCGCCCTCGAGGCCTCCAAGAGCGTCCGAAGGTTGTCCCGACGCCGGGCCTCCCGCCGCTCCCAAGGGGCCAAGAACCTTCCCAGGACCATTCCTTTTCAGGACCATTCCGATGCCCCAAAAGTCTCCCAAGAGACTTCGACACTTACCAAAAGGAGCCTTTGGCAGAGCTCCATCAGCCACGGCACCCTTTCGCCGTCTCTGGAACCCCAGAAGCCCCAAAGAAAGCCGCGGACCCCGAACGAACCCCCAGACCATTCCGAGGCGCCACAGACCCTCCCAAGATACCGCGATAATTCCGACGGAGCTCCCAAGAGAGCCTCCCGCCCTTGTGCCTCCCCGGCAGCCTTCAACACAGCCTGTTACGGATAACAAGGCCCAACGAACCTCCTCTCCCCGTTCATGTCTCTTCTCACTCCTCCTCCTCTTTCTTCCTGCTCCTCCTCCTCCTGATCCCTCTCCGTGGCTCCCCTTACTGCAAGCTCCAGCCACTCTGGGGTCCCCACGCAGTGGATTCGGGGTGGCAAGGGGGACATGTAGACACCCTTGCAGTAGCACCCGCGCCCTTTCCTGCCTCCGAAGGTCTCCAGACGAATCCGAAGACCGCCCTCGCTCCAGAGCTACTCTCTTCCTCGGCCTCCTGCTCGCTCTCATGCGCCTCACTCCCTTCTCCGCCCCCCGCACACCCCAGTACGTTGTTGCTCCCCCCCAGCGACTCGTGGTGGCAAGGGGGGGGCCTTCTTCTCTCTTCTCTACCTTGGCTTCCTCGTCTCGGAGCCTGCACCTCACTCGCTCTCTCTCTCTCTCTCTGGACTGCTTTCTTCCTCCTAGACCCCCCCCCTCCGATTAGGGGTGACAAGGGGGACCTTCTGCTACCTTCTCTGCCTCGACTTCCTCGCTTCCTCCTCTCGGAGCCTGCTCTCCCACATCTCCAGTACCGCTCTCCTCCTCCTCCTCCGCCTCCTCCTGCAAGAGGCTGCCTCGAGACTGGACTGCGGGAAGCCTTCGGTGCCACAAGAACCCTCCGGGGACCCCTCCGAGACAGCCCGGGCCCTCCCAGGACATTCGAAGCCAGTCGCCAGCCGCGGAGCCTGAGCCTGCAGCAAACCCTGGAGCAAACCCGCAGGCGTCGGCGACACACGCGCGCGCTCGGGATTGACACCCTGATCTGCTGGCCGTGGACCTTCCGCGGGCTCACACCAGTCAGCTACAGCGCCGGGATCAGCGCCTGCGAGAAGGGCGGGCAGTGGCAGCAGGCCCTGTTGCTGCTCGGCGAGATGTGGGATGCGAGGATGGAGCCCGACGTCATCTCTCCTAATTACAGTGTGGGCGCGCATCAAGAAAGCATTTGCTTTTCGTCAGGGTACCCTGGGTTTCTTCGCTCCGCGCGCTGCCTGCGCGGCGACTTCCGCGGCCGTTGAAGAAGCTGCTGCGTTCCGGGTGCTCCGGGTTTCCCCACAGGTGTACCTCAAGTGGCAGTGCTCAAGGTTGGGTTGCTTGCGAGGGTTTCTTGCGGCCGCGCCCGCTCTGCACGCAGTCTCTCTCATCCGCTGCTGGCCCTAACGCGTGCTGAAGGGTGGGCGTTGCCGCACCGCGCAGCACCCGCCCCGGCGGGCCCCTGCGCACCCCTGGGCGCCCCCAGGCCAGTTCAGGGGCAGCGATAGTTCCTCCTCCTCCTCCTCCCTCTCCTCCTCCTCCTCCTCCTCCTCCTCCGCCGCCTCCTCCTCCTCCTCATAGGGGGGGGATGAGGCTCAGGCGGGGACGCATCGGCCCCCAATCGCCCATTCATCGCCGCTACGGGTCCGGCAGCTCGCCCCGCCCAGGCACGTGCGGATTCGCTACCGGGGGCCCATCGCCGATGCGTCGGCGATGCATCGCTGCTTCGAGCTCGAGGCTCCCCCCCCGGAGCTGGCCCCCCCCGAGCGTTGCCCCTCGCCAGTCGGGCGGGCCCAGGACAGGGACAGATCGCTTCCGAGCGTTCCAGAACGCTCTCGGAGCGTGTTGGAGCGCTCCGAGAAGGCCGTGGCGCCCGATGCAGCCCTCAGAACGATCCTTGCCTCGTCTTTCAGGAGGGCAAAAAAAACACACAGACACAATTACTCGTCGACTCCCAGGAAAATACATGAAACTATGGGAAGTGGGGGGGAGGACGGACCCCCCCCAAAAGAGGGAAAATATGGGGAATCCTGGGATTTGTGTTTATTTATTTGTGTGTCCCTTGGCCCCTTCAGTCTTGGCCAGACGGCCCTGCGGAGCCATCTGAGGGCTCCACGCGGACCGAGAGGGCCCCCAGGAGGCGGCCACGACAGCCGCGCAGGCCCCTCAGCTGGCCACGGCCTCCGCGACGGCTCCGCGCAAGGGCCCCTAATAGGCGGGCACAGGCAGACCCCCTTCTCGGGACTTACTGCGTACTCTTTGTTGTCGCTGTTGTTGTTGACGCAGTTGTTGGTTTTGTTGTTGCTGCTGTTGTTGTAGTTGTTGCTGTTGTTGTTGTGGTTGTTGTTGTTCTTGCTTTGGTTTCTGATGTCATGGTGGTTGGCAATGCGATTGTGGTTGTTGTGGTTGTTGTTGTTGCTGGTGTTGGTTTTGTCGTTGTTTTGGTTCTTCTTCTTGCCGTTGTTGTTTATGTTGTTGATGCTGCTGTCGTCGTCGTTGTTGTTGTTGATGCTGCTGTCGTCGTCGTTGTTGTTGTTGTTGTGGTTGTGGTTGTTGTTGTTGTTGCTCTTGTAGTTGTAGTTGATGTTGTTGTGGTTGTGGTTGTGGTTGTGGTTGTGGTTGTGGTTGTTGTTGTTGTTGTTGTTGTTGTTGTTGTGGTTGTGGTTGTGGTTGTGGTTGTGGTTGTGGTTGTGGTTGTGGTTGTGGTTGTGGTTGTTGTTTGTTTGTTTGTTTGTTTGTTTGTTTGCTTGTTTGTTTGTTTGTTTGTTTGTTGTTGTCGTCGTCGTCGTCGTCGTTGTTGTTGTTGCTGTTGTTGTTGTTGTTGTTGTTGTTGTTGTTGTTGTTGTTATTGTTGTTGTTGTTGTCATTGTTGTTGTTGTTGCTGCTGTTGCTGCTGTTGTTGCTACTGTTGTTGCTGCTGTTGTTGTTTCTGCTGATGTTGCTGTTATTGTTTGTTTGTTTGTTTGCTTGTTTGTTTGTTTGTTTGTTTGTTTGTTTGTTTGTTTGTTTGCTTGTTTTGCTTTTGTTCTCTCTCTCTCTCTCCGTCCCAACCGCTCGGCCCCGCGTGGCTGCAAGGAGGGCCCCCAGAAGCTTCCTGAAGGCCAGCATTTTTGCCTTCAGCTCGCTCGCCAAGGGAAGCCTTGCACCCTGGCCTCCTCGGCACATCCTCGGCTACTTTCGTTGGCCGCGCCCCGCGCGAGAAGCTTCGAAAAGGGCGTGCAGGGCCCCTCCATCCTTCTCGCGCAATCCTCGTGATGCGGGCCGGCTGCACTTTCTTCCCGCTCTCCACCGCTCGGCCCGGCGCGTGGCTCCGGGCAGGGCCCCCTGGAAGCTTCCGCGAGGGCCCGACGGGGCCAACGAGAGCCCCCCCCCGAGAGGGCCCCGGACGCCCCCCCCCCAGATGTCTGCAGCCACCGCGGCCTGGTGCGTGGATCCAGGAAGGGCCCCGGGAAGTTTCCAGGAGGACCCGAGGGGGCCAGCGAGAGCCCCCCGAGAGGGCCCCAGACCCCCCCCCTCAGACGTCCCAGCCCCCGCGGCCCGGCCCCAAGACGGCCCACGGGGACGCCCCAGAGCCCGCAGGGGTCCCAGGAAGGGGCCCGCGAGGTGCCTGCCAGCTTCGTCGATCGGGGGCGGCCAAGGGGGGGGTGAGGACCAGGGGGCCGGGGGGATATCACGGCGTGGGCGATGAGATCTCCCCAGACTTTGTGGTATGGCGCCTCCTCTTCTTTCATTGCGTCTCTGGCCCCCACCCCCTGGGCCGCGCACATGCCGCCGGCCATGATCTGCGCCCCCCCCTCCTTGACGCCCCCCTCTTGTTGGCCGCACCCGAGTCAAAAATGATTTGAGATGCCGTTCAAAGTCGAAGCGCCCGATAGTGCAGGGGCTTATCAGAGATTGCGTTCTTCGACGTTGCGAGGGGCACTGCCGAATTTCGGACACCCCCCTGCGTGTGGGCCAAACGCCTCGTGTCAGCATTGAAGTAGCGCCGACCGCGCAAGCGCCGGAAACATATAAGGAACCGCAATTATTATTATTAATATTATTATTATTAGTCTTATTATTATTACTATTATTATTTATACTAATAGTAGATAAGAATGATATGAAGAGTAATGATGCGAATCGTAGTAAGAATATCACCACTAGTAATAGTAATAATAATACTAGTGATCATAATAATATTAATAATACTAATAATAACAATAATAATACTAATAATAATAATAATGCGAAGAAGTGGCCTAAACATAAGATGTTGGAGGTCCGCGCGGGTTTCTCGGATCTGCGCCGGGCCCCCTCGGTGGCGCCTCCAGCATCGCCCTTGGAGCGCGCTCCGCGCGCCAGGAAGGCGGGAGTCCGGTGCCGCTCCACGGAGCGCGCGCGGCGTTCCGGCAAGATCTCTGTCTGTGTGGAGGCCCCCGGGAGCTGCACGACTGCCGCTGGAGAGGCCCGAGGGCCCCACAGAAGGCCCGACAGTCAGTATCGTTTGTCCGATCCCCATCCCCATCCCCATCCCTTCGAGACCCCCACCAAATTACCCCTGCCAGTTGGGGATACACCCCTCGAAACACGAAGGGAACGGCCTACATCCCCATCTCGGGGGGTAAATCGGCCAGTGGGGCCCAGGCCACGCCGCTGGGGATGGGGATCGGATAAGCGATATTCAGACAGGGCCCCAGCATGCGTCAGCACGGCTCCCACATGGAGCTCGCGTGTCCCCGAGGTGGGCCTCCGCGACGTCCGTTCGCGTTCCTGCGCCAGGCAGGGCGCCCGCTTCGATCCGGTGGATCCGATTCGATATTATCGGCCCTGGCCAGCCAGCTTCGATCCGATTCAGATTTCCGGGCGATCCGGTGCGGTGCGGCCCGATGCTTGCATCCTGTCGCCGCCGATTCGACTCGCTTCGGACTCAGTGCCGATGCGGCCCGATTCGGTGCACATTCCGATCCGATCCGCGATGCTGACTTATACCGCGCGAAAGGCAGCCCGACTGTCGAGCAGCGACTGGCAGCACACAGCAGCGCGCGGCAGCGCGCAGCAGCGACCAGCACCGACCACGAGCAGCACATGGGCAGTCCCTGTCGATCCGTGCGTTGAGCTGGCAACACCAGCAATCACTAGCATGAAGTCGGGCGTGTCCCTCTACAGGTGGAATCTATTCGACAATCGACAATAGTAGGGGGACGATTTTTGTTGAGTTTTGTTTGTTTTTTTATTGTTCGTCCGAAATCCGCTTGTCGGGGCACATGAACACTGGCACCAGGCCGCAGCGGCCAGGCTCCAAGCAGCAGCAGCAGCAGCAGCAGCAGCAGCAGCAGCAGCAGCAGCAGCAGCAGTCAGCAGCACATCACGCGGCAACAGCGAGCAGCGGTGGCAGGCCCGTGCAGCAGCAGCCCGCAGCGACGGCATGCAGCAGCACGCAGCAGCAGCCAACCAGCATCAGCCAGCACCAAGCGGCAGCAACTACGCAGCAGCAGAACACCGCAGTAAGCTTCAGCACGCGCCAGCAAGTACCAGTCAGTCGCGGCAGCAATCAGCAGCGACCAGCAGCAAGAAGTTCAGCAGTGAGCGTCACCGAGCAGCAGCAAGCGGCAGTAAGCAGTAGTCCACGGACGAGCAAGTGGTGAAGCAAGCAACCAGGAAATCAGACGAGCAGACCACAAGCTGTCAGGCCAGCAGGCTAGCAACATCGCAAGCAGTAGCTCAGGCAAGTGAAGAAGAAGAATAATAAGAAGAATAATAATCATAATAATAGTAATAATAATAATAAGAAGAATCATAAGAATAATAATAAGAATAATAATAATAATACAAATAAGAAGAAGAAGCGGACAGGCAGTCTTCACCCTTGCATGCGAGCAGTCTCTCGTGGCCGCCGTAAGGATTCCGATCAGAACTAGCCGCTTGCCATGGATTTCCCCACGCATCTACGCTCGTCATCTACAACGCTGGCATCAGCGCGTGCGAGAAGGGCGAGCAATGGCAGCCGGCTCTGGCGCTGCTCAGTGAGATGCTCGAGGCAAAGGTGGAGCCCGACGTCATCTATACCTCAAGACCAGGCTCCGCGCGTGCCAGAGTCGGGTATAAATAGCCAGGGCCCCGGTTCAGGGGAGCTGGTCAGTGATTGGGCCCCGAAGTCCAAAATATGGACTGGAATCGCTGGGGGGAGCTCCAGTCAGTGGAATGGGGCGGGGGTGCGGCCTCCGGAACAATCCCCACAGGCTCCAGTAAGGCCTCCAGCAGCTCCCTCCAAACGGACCTGATAGGCTCCTGGAAGCACCAGATGATCGGAAAAAACCACACCCTACCACCACACACCTTGGAACACCTCTCGCGCGGGAGGGGGTGCAGCAAATAGCTGTCCGAAGCGGCCGCGGACACCGGGGAACGCTGTTTGTGCGACCACTCCCGTGCTGAGCGTGTCCCAAGAGGTGTGGTGTATGCGTGTGTGGGTGTGTTTTTCCCAATCATCTTGGGCCTTCTCCTTCTCCTCCTCGTTGTCGCTCTCGTCCGCCACATGCGCTCGTACCCGCAGCGTCGGAGCCGCACGATTTCCCGGAGGGGGAAGAGAAGAACGAGGAGGAGGAGGAGGACGATGAGGCGGACGAGAATGAGAAGCACGAGCCAGAGGACGAGGACAGGCCAACCATGATGACGATCAGGAGGAGGAGGATGATGATGAGGAGGAGGACAAGTATGCCGAGGAAGAGGTGTAGGAGTAGGAGCAGGATGAAGAGTAGGGGTAGGAGTAGTAGGAGTAGGAGTCAAGCTAGCTAGCTCGGGCGAGTCAAGCATGGCATGCCCATTTCCACCCGCCCTTCCACAACATATGAAACATTGTAGTAGTAGTAGTAGTAGTAGTCGTCGTAGTAGTCGTCGTCGTCGTCGTCGTAGTAGTAGTAGTAGTAGTAGTAGTAGTAGTAGTAGTGGTAGTAGTCGTAGTAGTAGTAGTAGTAGTAGTAGTAGTAGTAGTAGTAGTAGTAGTAGTAGTAGTCGCAGTAGTAGTAGTAGTCCGTCGTCGTCCGTAGTATTAGTAGTAGTCGTAGTCGCAGTCGTAGTAGTAGTAGTAGTAGTAGTAGCAGTAGTAGTAGTAGTGGTAGGTAGCGTAGTAGTAGTAGTAGTAGTAGTAGTAGTGTGTAGTAGTATAGTAGTAGTAGTAGTAGTAGTAGTAGTCGTAGTAGTAGTAGTAGTAGTAGTAGTAGTAGTAGTAGTAGTAGTAGTAGTAGTAGTAGTAGTAGTAGTAGTAGTAGTAGTAAGTAGTAGTAGTAGTAGTAGTAGTAGTAGTAGTAGTAGTAGTAGTAGTAGTAGTAGTAGTAGTAGTAGTAGTAGCAGTAGTAGTAGTAGTAGTAGTAGTACCCTGAGGGTGGATGGGTCCAGAAACTGGACCCCAATTGTTTTGTAAGTTTGAAACTGGACCCTTTTTAAACGTGTCCACTTTCGTTTCTTAACATAAAAAAGTGTCTACTTTTTTTGCTAACATAAAAAAGTGTCTACTTTTTTCTATCATAAAAAATTGTCTACTTTTTTACTAACATAAGAAAGTGTCCACTTTTCTTGGCTAACATAAAACATGTCCACTTTCTAACATATGTTGTTTTGTATGATGGTGTAGAAACGCGCGCAACGTACAGGATTTGAATGAATATACCAATACAATAGTTAGCCACACTATGATTCAATGTATTGCCTACAAGCCTGTCTGAAGGCCCCTAACGGGGTCGGAGTATTTTGTTTCGGGAGCGTGAGATGTCAGATGTCCCGCAGGCCCCGAATATTTGGATGACCACCCCACTCTTGAGGCACATTCCGATCCATCGCCTTCGCCCCCCGCGGCCCCTTTCTGCTCGAAGGCCGCGAATATGGTTGCAGAGGTGCACCACTTGCGGCCGATTTCGAACTGGACGTTTGCACCTCCGCATTCTGTTGCCAGGATGCTGATGTCCGCTGCTGCTTCGCCGAGCGGCCCGACCGAGAAGAAGGATTGCCCCACGACCGAAACGAGAACCCCAGAGAGCCACAGGAGCCCAGCGCAGACTGTGCCCAGCAGCAGTGCAGCGACCCCGACGCAGCGGGATATCGAGTCGCTCGAGCGTGACCCCCCGACTGAGCCAGCAACCCCGAGAGCGATCAAGAAGGCTCGGATTGGTGAGATACCTGACAGCGACGACGACCTCGAGGAGAAGGGCGAGAGCGGCGCGTGTGCCGCGGCCCTGGACCAGCCGTCGCTGCAGGACACGGGCGGAGGAGAAGGAGGAGGAGGAGAAGGGAGGAGGAGGAGGAGGAGGGAAGAGGAGGAGGAGGAGGAGGAGGAGGAGGAGGAGGAGGAGGAGGAGGAGGAGGAGGAGGAGGAGAGGAGAGGAGAGGAGAGGAGGAGGAGGAGGAGGAGGAGGGGAGGAGGAGGAGGAGGACAGGGGCCTCGATTCGATTACGACTGCGAGTCGACGAGCCCCGTTGCGGTGTGATCCCGACGAGCTGGCGGTGAAGGATCGGTGATCTTTCGGTGATCTTTCGGTGAGGTTTCGACCCCGATGAGCTGGCGGTGAAAGATCGGTGATCTTTCGGTGATATTTCGGTGAGGTCTCGACCCCGACGAGCTGGCGGTGAAAGATCGGTGATCTTTCGGTGATCTTTCGGTGAGTTTTCGATCCCCTGCGAGGGCGCCACGGCCCCCGTCGATGGCCAGCCCTCCGCCGTCGTCAACTCCGACGATGAGCCCCTCGTGAAGAAGGACTGCCTGGTGGGAAATAGGATGGGGGGGACGGGGTGAAGGGGAGGACGGGGTCAGAGCTCGCCAGATCTCCCGACTCAGAAGGGGGTCGCGCAGGGACGGTGAATTGCAGCATCGGCGATGCATCGAGTCCGTCCATGCATCAGCGATGCATCGGCGATGCATCGCGGGTGTCCGTCTTCAGCATCGGCGATGCATCGAGTCCGTCCGTGCATCAGCGATGCATCGGCGATGCATCGCGGGTGTCCGTCTTCAGCATCGGCGATGCATCGAGCCCGTCCATGCATCAGCGATGCATCGGCGATGCATCGCGGGTGTCCGTCTTCAGCATCGGCGATGCATCGGCGAGGTTCTGGGCCAAGTCGTTACCTCCTTCCGCCTCCTCCTCCTCATCCTGCTCCTCCGTAGCCATTTGGGCTCGAGCAGTTGCACCTCGGGCTGCGGGGCCGACCTGGTGGTGATGCCGCCGAAGAGGAGGCCTGCTGCCGCAGGACCGCCACCGGCGCCGCCTGATGCCGCAGCTGACGACGAGGACGACGAACCCAAGGCGACGTCGATCTGCGGCGACGTGGAGCTCGTGGCGGGCGTGCTCCGCAAGCACATGGACAAGCCAGAGTGGCTGGTCTACGACGCGGACCTCTCCAAGCACGTGAAGGACAAGGGCCAGCTGCTGCAGCACATCAAAATCCTCGGCGACGTTCGTGAGAACGTTCCTTCCTGTGCGATCGGCGAGCTGGCGGCGGAGAACGCCATCTCGACGATTATCAGCGAGAAGGAGAGCCAGGAGTGGGCGTTTCTCCAGGTGAAGGGCGGCGCGCACAAGCAGTGCATTCAGGACGTCGCCGCGAAGCTTCGCACCTTGACGCGCCACGGTGGCTCGCTGTTCCGCAAGAAGAAGATTCCGAAGTGGTTCTCGGCGGCGCTGAAGGACAGGTGGAGGAGGTGGAGGCGGAGCGGAGGAGGAGGAGGAGGAGGAGGATGAGGAGGGGGGAGGAGGAGGGGGGAGGGGGAGGAGGAGGGAGGAGGGGGGGGAGGTTCTGGCAGGGAGGACGGAGGGAGGAGGGGGAGGAGGAGGGAGGAGGGGGGGAGGAGGGATCAGGGGGAGGAGGGGGAGGAGGAGGAGGGGGGGGAGGAGACCTGGCAAGGAGAATGGTTTCGGAGACGGTGGTGCAGACGTTGCAGACGATGGAGGTGATGATGAGGAGGCCGAGGGGGGCGCGGCCGACCAGGAGAAGCCAGGCGAGGCGAAGGCCGCGCCCCACACGGCGTCCAAGGTGACTGGCCAGTACATCTTCAAGTTCGACGAATTCAGGATGGAGGCGGTCCGCATCGAGAAGGGCAACAAGAAAGGTGACCCTGCCGAGCAGGTGGGGACCGTGAGGCCAGGCTGGCGCTGCGCCTACTGGGCAGGCGGCGACGCGTGGGAGTACCCAGAGGAGTGGGAGACCGCGCAGAAGTCTGCAGGCGGCGGTCGCACGAAGCGGCCCCGCGCGCCCATGCCAGATGGCGGGAAGGTGTGGATCGCTGCCGGAAAAGATAGAGGGTTGCACCGCATCGTCCGCGTGCTCCGCAGGTATCCTGATGGCACCGAGGAGCAGCAGACCCAGATCGGATGCGGGATCTTCAAGGGCGAGGATGAGGCCGTGAGCGCGATGGATAAGAGGATCCTCCAGCCGCTCGCTTCGGGGAAGATCACGAGCAAAGAGCAGGCGAACCTCTTGAAGCTGGAGCTAGCGAAGGAGATGAACGCTGCGGAAAAGGTTCAGAACGGCAAAGGCGAGAGTGCAGAGGGCTCAGAACATGAAGGTGAACCCGACGTGGAGCCTGAGAGTAAACGCGGTCGGAAAGCAGCAGCACCGAAGAAGGAGGCCAAGCAGACCGCGGCGAACACGGGCGACCACGCGGGCGCCCCGTCGGCCGTCGATGGCGGTGGAGCCGACGCCGCGCAGGCAGTCGTCGAGGGCGATAGCAAGAAGACGAGCCCCAAGGCCACGCCGATGAAAGAGAAGAAGGAGAAGAAAGACAAGCAGGCCAATATCGACCATGCGGATAAGGAGAAGGGGAAGAAGGACAAGGCCAAGAGCGACACGAAGGAGAAGAAGGACAAGGCCAAGAGCGACGCGAAGGAGAACGCGGACGTGGACACTCCAGCAAAGACCGAGGAGAATATCGGCGTGATCATTCCGCAGGCGGTGGGCATCTACAGGAAGCACGCGAAGCGGGCCGCCGAGGAGCGCTCGGATCAGATGGGCCTCCCGCCCAAGAAGACCAACGTGGAGTGCGCCGAGATGCTGCTGCGGATGTCGAGGGAGGC